ACCAGGCTGGGAAGACTGAATCTGCAATAGGTAAGCAGCTTGGTTTGAAGAAATCAACTGTGAGAGCAATTATTAGGAAATGGAAGACATACAAGACCACTGATAATCTCCCTCGATCAGGGGCTCCACGCAAGATCTCACCCCGTGGGGTCAAAATGATCACAAGAACGGTGAGCAAAAATCCCAGAACCACACGGGGGGACCTAGTGAATGACCTGCAGAGAGCTGGGACCAAAGTAACAAAGCCTACCATCAGTAACACACTACGCCGCCAGGGACTCAAATCCTGCAGTGGAAGACGTGTCCCCCTGCTTAAGCCAGTACATGTCCAGGCCCGTCTGAAGTTTGCTAGAGTGCATTTGGATGATCCAGAAGAGGATTGGGAGAATGTCATATGGTCAGATGAAACCAAAATAGAACTTTTTGGTAAAAACTCAACTCGTCGTGTTTGGAGGACAAAGAATGCTGAGTTGCATCCAAAGAACACCATACCTACTGTGAAGCATGGGGGTGGAAACATCATGCTTTGGGGCTGTTTTTCTGCAAAGGGACCAGGACGACTGATCCGTGTAAAGGAAAGAATGAATGGGGCCATGTATCGTGAGATTTTGAGTGAAAACCTCCTTCCATCAGCAAGGGCATTGAAGATGAAACGTGGCTGGGTCTTTCAGCATGACAATGATCCCAAACACACCGCCCGGGCAACGAAGGAGTGGCTTCGTAAGAAGCATTTCAAGGTCCTGGAGTGGCCTAGCCAGTCTCCAGATCTCAACCTCATAGAAAATCTTTGGAGGGAGTTGAAAGTCCGTGTTGCCCAGCGACAGCCCCAAAACATCACTGCTCTAGAGGAGATCTGCATGGAGGAATGGGCCAAAATACCAGCAACAGTGTGTGAGAACCTTGTGAAGACTTACAGAAAACGTTTGACCTGTGTCATTGCCAACAAAGGGTATATAACAAAGTATTGAGAAACTTTTGTTATTGACCAAATACTTATTTTCCACCATCATTTGCAAATAAATTCATTAAAAATCCTACAATGTGATTTTCTGGAATTTCTTTTCTCATTTTGTCTGTCATAGTTGACGTGTACCTATGATGAAAATTACAGGCCTCTCTCATCTTTTTAAGTGGGAGAACTTGCACAATTGGTGGCTGACTAAATACTTTTTTTCCCCACTGTAGGTGATCAAATACTTATGTCATGCAATGAAATGCAAATGAATTACCTAAAAATCATACAATGTGATTTTCTGGATTTTTGTTTTAGATTCCGTCTATCATAGTTGAAGTGTACCTATGATAAAAATTACAGACCTCTGCATGCTTTGTAAGTAGAAAAACCTGCCAAATCGGCAGTGTATCAAATACTTGTTCTCCCCACTGTATATGGCCATATTTATCAGGACTGTTAATTGATTTAATCTGCCAGGTGATTGCTGTGTTCAGAGGGGGATTCCCTCACTACAAAATAAAAATATTACTGATAAGAAATCTATATTTTACAACACCTGTAATGATGTATATTAGGTAGCCATCAACAGTGTCTTTAAGATGATTTGGAACTTCTGAAACATTTTAAAGGTCTTCAAACAAAGATATAATCTTTACTGAATATAATTGCATAGTACATTATATAATATGTTCTGTGGTTTTTGAGGAGAGAACATATTCTCCCCTAATCTGTAAACTACACAGGGATGTTACAGTCTGATAGCCAAAACATGTCGGCAGATTGAGGGTAATCCATCTTCAGAACCACAGATTATACCAAGAGGGGGCTGCCAAAATAATTGGACAGATTGCTTAAAATACACTCTCCTATTCTCACGGATCAGAGCTAAAATGTGATTTAAGGGGACAAACAGATCCAACAGTTCAATGGTGAAATGTCAATGAAGACACTGCTCAGGAGGGAGTTATAGATTATTTTAATACTGTAATGGACCACAAGCTGTAACAAACCCAGAAAGTAGTCAGCAGAGAAGTAAAGTATCATAAATACCATTGCTCCATACTGTACAGATGTAGGATCTTAATTTGAGCCAGTTTGCTACAGCAGGAAAATAATCCTGCAGCAAGAGGAAATGTGAATTATTATGTGGATTATAATTAATTGACATTTTTGTAGGGGTTGATGCATTTTTCGTAAGGGAAAATCAAGTCTGAAATGTCAAAGTGGAAAATACAAACTTCAGAAACCTCAAATACACTACAAGTTCTCCTGCAACAGGGTGATCAAATTAAGATCCTGTAGGATCTGTAGGTAAACTGACTTGTGACAATTTCAGCTCATGCCTTTTCCACTGACGCCATGATTTCCCAATTCGCAACATCAATCAAGATTTAGCGGCTGCTTCTTACGAAAAATACCTCTTTAATGCCAACATTTTTTTTATCAACATGGATTATACCTATATAGCTCCATGTATGGTCTGTCTGCTAATCACTGACTATGTATCGTGCATCATATCAGGGTCTGTCTGCCTCTGGCTCTCCCTCTCCCCAGGCTGGTCCAGGCTGGATTAAGTGAACAATCAGGTACAGTAGAGAAGACAGCACCTCACCAACGTCAGTCCTCCAACACATATGGCCTGTTGACTGGACAGACTGTTGGGGAGAGGGAGAAGTAGTTTCCAACTCTCTGCTGAGACACTACATCCAAACCGATTGAGGGTTCCCCCTTGTAGCATGTGGGAGTTTTTTTGTTGCTTTTGTCTGCATGTATTGATTTGAGGTACAAGTAAAAGCCATTGAAACGTTATGCCATTAACGAAAAGAGACATACGTAAGTGAGGAAGGTAAGGTGGACTTCCCAAGCCACATAGTTTCCACACAGAGACAGCATAGGGACACCTGTGCCTGGGAAGGTTACTCTATCCTGCCTGTGCTGAGAGGAGAGATCCTCCATCAACCTGCTGCAAACTGCTGGGAGGAAACACCTGGGCTTACACCATCAGACACACACACACACACGCACAAACACTCACACAAACACATTAAACTGCCCTGGAAATCATATCCGCCATTCCATTTCTCGATCATAGTCTAATTGGTGTGACTAACAGATCGTCTTATTCATCAACATTACGGAACAAAGAAATCAGTGTTCTCAACACACTGAAAAGGTTTGAGTTGAGGTCATTATCATTGATGCAATCAAAGTGGTTGAGCGCCTGGATGTTATCCAATAGGCATGATCACATCCCGTCCCGCAAGACACAAACCTGAGAACAAGCCAGATGCTAAGATATCTAAGCCACCTGTCCATCAATAATGTACCTCCTTCTTTCAGCTCCTTGTCCTTTTCTGAAGCAGCCAAGCCCTCCAAAGACAAACCTGCCCTCAGAGGGACTCGTAATCTCTAATTAATCCAGAAGCCAAAGGTCAGATGCAATCTGGCTCTTATTGAGCTTTCACATCAATCTGACATCAATCAGATGTATTATGAGAACAATCTAGCAGAGAGACATTTAGTACACAGAAGATCTAACAGACAAACTAATATGAACCTGAGAATTGTATCCTGTGTTGGGGCTACTTCTCTATATTTACGTGTGTGTGTGTGTGTGTGTGTGTGTGTGTGTGTGTGTGTGTGTGTGTTCAGTGTCTGCCTCGGCTGTGAATGCTTGAAGAAGAAGAGGTTTGTGTTGCCTAGGGAAGTCAGAAGATTAGACGAGTAGCTTGAGGCAGAGCATTGAGTAGCGCTGTGGGCTGAGCAGGTTAAACTGGCATGAGAGAGAACCCTTTAATCTGGCCTGCTGTCTGTTTGTAGACTGACAGATAATAGTGTTTAATGGGCTGACAGCCAACTGGCAGGCAGCTAGCCAGGCAGGCCACGCTCTCAGGTGCTCAGTTAGTAAGTTAGGGGGAGCTGACTGGGAGGAAGGCCATGTTTACCTGTCTAAATCCAACCCTGTTCTGTTTGCACAGAGCAGACACACTGTCTGTGGAGCTCTGCATGTGTTCTACGGTAGTGCTGGTAGAGACAAGCAACAGTTGAGGTAAAATGTGGCTACTCATGCCTCAAGCTCATCTATCCATCAGCCATCTTGTATGTAGCGTTACCTCTACTAGACAAGACAAAATGCCTCAAAAGAGGGAGGAGTAACTATCACAGTAAGAATCCTCTCTGGAGTATTACCAGGAGTTATTGAGTTCACCCAGTGCAAATCTAGGCTTGTTATGTGTTGTAGTCTCAGGTAGGGGAGAGTGGGGTAAGTTGAGCCACCCTTGTTTCTAGGAAACTATACACAAAATGTATCATTCAACCAAATATTTAGGAAGATGTCATCCTTTCATGGAGTCATGGAAAAAAGTGGTAAGCAAGTTAGGTCCAAAAAACTTATTTTCACCAGGTCAAATTAATTTAGTGTGATAGACGTTTCAAGTAGATCATTTTAAGATTGTTCTATACATCAGTTGAGGTCTCTATAAGCGTGAATATGACGTCCTAAACCTAGCATGAAAGTGCATCCTTGTAGCTGTGTGGGCTAATATAGTCAAAATGTTTGCCTTGGGGTAAGTTGAGCCAATGGCCAAGGGGTAAGTTGAGCCAATGGTTGAGCAAATTAAAGTGTTTTCATCACAGGCGTAATGCAAGGCATTATCGCTTGGATGTGAGGTAACAACAGGGCCTGGCCTATGTTCATTTGTAGATGGCTTAACTTACCCTGTCCGATGGCTCAACTTACCTCATACCTGGGGTAAGTTCTGCCAAGATACCACTTTCTTTGGACAAGCTATGTTTTCAAAACTGTAATTTTTACATGAATTCTGATTATTTCCAGGGATACACAACATGCTGATATATATGTAGATATCTTTGTTAGAAATAATACTATATTTCCCTTGACAGAGTGATACTAAATGTACAAATTGCTCAACTTACCCCACTCTCCCCTAGTAGGCTATGCATAAAAAGAGCCCAGAGTGAGAGTCTAAATCAGAAGTGAACTGACCCCACCTGACCCCCTAGTATAGCTAACAGTACTGTACCTGGGGCTGGTGCAGGATCGCTCCCTGTACATCACCCCTCCCCCACAGGTCCTTGAACAGTCCGACCACTCCGACCATCCTGACCACTGACCGTTGACAGCTCTCGGACCGTGGTCACCATACTTCACACACTGGCCTCGCCGACACCACTGTTGAAAGAGGAGAGAGAGAGAGAGAGAGAGAGAGAGAGAGAGAGAGAGAGAGAGAGAGAGAGAGAGGGGATGAGGGCGGGGTGGAGAGAAAAAATGAAAAAGTTGAGTTAGTATCAGTGGTAGGATCTTTGGCTTGCCCCACTGCTGAGGTTGCTGGTTTGGGTGAATGCCCAGCACCACACCTGGAGACCTAGGCCTATCTGAGCCAAACCACACACTCACACACATCACCACCTTTCTCTCTCTCCCACTATCATCTTTCACTGCAGAAAAAGAATAGGAGCCTTGTGTCCTTATGGGACATTTAACAATGCACAGAACGCTCCTGCAGGTGTGTGTATATGTGGATTTGTGAGTGAACCTGTATTTTGTGCATGTGCTTGGGCCTTAGGCATTTGTGTATGCGTCCCTGTGTGTTTTTATGGCTGTGTGTGTTTGAAAGTGTGTTACACTGAGTGATAATGTTAGAGGGAAATCTCTGTCTCCTCCCATCCCATTCACGATGGGCAACATTGCCATGGAAACAGATGGTACACTTACCATGTCAGTCCCACAGCTGGTGCCCTCGGCAGCGGGCATGAACTTGGTCTCACACCGGTGACCTGTCCTGTGGCACCACAGTGACTTACAGATGTCCTGCAGAGTGACCAGACACACCAAACAGTGAGTCCAGCATCTGCCTCCCCTCATCAGAACACCACCACTACACCACCAACACTCCACTGCCACGGTTACAAGCAATAACCCCCCATTTCCAAAACACCTGTCAAAACCAATCATTGTATTCCCTGAAACACACTATTCATGTATATTTAATTTCTTCCCACAATGCAGCAGTAAGTATGGAGAGATGAGGCCTTGGGAGCCATGCGGTGGACCTGTGCCACGCTGGCGTGCCGCCCGATTGCATCTGGCAGACAGCTAGTGAGACCGGGGTTGTGAGAGAGCTAGTCCCCCTGTGTTAATCTAGCTCTGCAGCAGACTGACTGGGCTAGTGTGCCACGACCAGCCGTAAGAGCAGAGCACGCGGCTAATTAGCTCCCCTGCACCGTGCGAAACGACCGCAGAATCCCAACAGGGGGAAGAAACACGGGGAGGCAAACATCCCAAATCCTTGTTAATTAAGATGTAGAGTCACCTACATCGCGGTTCAGGAGACGGATTCAAATTTAGGGCTGGGGTTCAGGAGAAGACAAAAGGTTGTATGGGGATGTACAATGGAGCAGGCTATACCATGAGCACTAATCCTACAGATGGACTGGCGTGGATGTTGATTTCCCACACACAACCTCCTTTTCTTGACCCGTTCCTTATTCATGCTGGATTTACATATCAATGCATGTCTTGTTGAATGTAGTATAGTGGAAGCTTATAGAGGCCCATTCCCTTAGGGTTGTGTTCAAGTCTGTTGGACCCGTTTTGAATACTGTAATGGGAGGTTAAATACGGCTGTTTTGGACATAGAATGGTTTGTCCCACAAAGATCATGCAAATTAAATAATACTGGTTTAAACCCTACCTAGTTTTCCCAGTAGCACACTTGTCAGACAGTTTCATGCAACTCACTAACGAATGTGCCTATCAGTGTCAGGTACCTTGACAAAGTCCAGGTTGCAAAGTTTAGCCTTGGAGCCAAACTGCCACTTGCACTGTGTGTCAGCATCATAGAGCTGGCCTGGGAGCTGCTCTGGGAATTTATACTGCCCAATCTGCCTGGGCTCATCCACCAGACACGATGCTTGAGCTGTTCTGTGGAACAAAACCAAGAAACACTGAACTATCAGACAGGGACCTATCATTAAGGACTCCTAAACACAAACAGGTGCATGAGAACCAAACTACATCATTACATGCATGGCAGCCATCTCAGAGGTCAATTTATAAGGCTTACCCGAGGAAGCGGCTGAGGTATTGGCGACTGCAGGCAGACCAGGAGAAGACCCCGTTGTTTCCTGCCAGGGTTGGAGACATGATGTTTCCTTCCGCTTTCTGACAAGGATTCCCCTCTCCATCATGGATCATCCCAAAACTGCCAGAGAGACAGATCATTAAGAATGAGAGAGCGAGAGCGAGAGCGAGAGCGAGAGCGAGAGCGAGAGCGAGAGCGAGAGCGAGAGCGAGACAGAGAGAGAGAGACAGCCAGCCAGCCAGAGAGAGAGCGAGAGAGAGAGCGAGAGAGAGAGAGAGAGAGAGAGAGAGAGAGAGAGAGACAGCCAGCCAGCCAGCCAGAGAGAGATAGAGAGAGAGAGAGAGAGAGACAGCCAGCCAGAGAGAGAGAGAGAGAGAGAGAGAGAGAGAGAGAGAGAGAGAGAGAGAGAGAGAGAGAGAAGAGAGAGAAGAGAGAGAGAGAGAGATAGAGAGAGAGAGAGAGAGAGAGAGAGAGAGAGAGAGAGAGAGAGAGAGAGAGAGAGAGGTAGAGAGAGAGAGAGAGAGAGAGAGAGAGAGAGACTGTTAATGTCCAGCCTCAGGTCAGAACTCTACTGGTCAGGTTGGAACTCTTACCCAAGTAACCTTACAACATTTTATTTTTATAAAACTCGTTAAGCTCCATGGAGCATGATGGGTCACATGTTTCTAACATAGCCTCATGCTTGGTTTAGAAACAGATGTGTTATAAACAGGCATGTGTTGATACAGTATTAAAAATGCTTAGGTCCACCCTCCTACAGTACAGTACATAGCTGAGGTTCACTAGTCTGTAAAAGACGACGTCATCTATTTAGAAATAACCTCTCCTCAATTTGTCAGTGATTAATGGTATTTGGCCTGGAAGTGGTTTTCATCTGAACAATGTGCAAATTCTGGGAATGATTCCTATTAATTTCACCAAAGTGATTAAGCCATTGAAAATTACAGGAATTCTGACATGTTACCAGCTCGGTGTATCTAAGGAACAGGTTCTTTCCAGTTTGTGTTGAGAAACTGCCAAGCACACAAAGGGCTTTACCATAATAATTTAATCTCAAATGTCAAATATAAACTGCCTCTTCTCTCGATGGAAACGTGTAAACCACAACCAGAGCATACCCATCGCCTGTGGCACTTTATATGGTTTCACACATTGTCATGAAGCAAATTAAGTAGTTTGCTAGCGTAATGTTATTGTTTTAGTCTGTATTTCTTTCTTTAAATGGACCTATTCTTCTTTGATGTTGCACTGTAGACTCAAGCCATCACATTGCAACTAAGCATGGCTTTCTATAAAAACGAAGCTTGCATGCATTTGTTAGGACTAATGTCCCACGAATACATTGTTGTATAGTAACACGTTCATCACCTGTACTAGGTGTTCTCCTGTTCTCCTAAAATTCATGGGGGTCTATTCTGCTCCATGTGAAGGTAAAGCTAATGGCTAATGCTAATAGCAAGGGCATTGATGGACTTACTTGTGGCCTGATTCATGAGCAATGGTGAAAGCTAAGCCCAGTCCTGTGTCTTCATTAATCGTACAGCTCCGGTATTTACTACACATTCCACTTATAGGAGCAAAACCTGCAGAGATAAGCAGAGGGAGAGGGAGAAGGAGAGGAGGAGAGGCGGAAAGTTAAAGAGTAAGGTAAGGGCGATATCAGGCTCAAATATGTATTCATACAAAGCTACTGTGTCTATCTACAAAAACTATCAGACAACATAACTGTTTGGGGAGAAGGAAGGCCATAGGCAGTGTTACAAGACAAACTTATTTTCAATACAGGCATTACTATCACCAACCTCACAAATCCTGCTTTTAGAGTGAGCCAAGACTGCTGTTACACGGCAATAAATGCAGTCTTTACGTTTTAAATGGTCCACAGAGAGCATGAACGCTATGGATTGTAGCATGAAAACTGTTGGTTGTATTACAAAGAGCATATTTAAATCAAGGCCTCGCTTGCTCCTCATACTGTACCTCCCAAAGTGCATACTTGTGGTTTGGAGCCTTTGAGATGAATTAATTATAGTTGGCTGATGCTTCAGTTTTAACTGATCTGACAATGCTGCCAATCGTTCACACTATTGAAGAGAAGGAGAGAGCGGGAATGTTTGTAAGATGTGTGTGGGTGTGTGCATGTGTGTGCGTGTATGCATGGCCATACTTGTGTGTATGTGTGTGTTCGTGAGTTTATACAAGGGTGTATTTAGTGCAGGTGAAATCCCCTGCCGGAGGGAATCCAGGCAGAGCATGCAGGATCCCGCCCACCCTGGAAGTGACCCCATGATCTCTGGTGCCGTCTAATTCCCCAGCAGCACCATGACTAAGGGCTCTAATCTCCAACAGTCATCTCAGGGGCCCTGGCTGACCTACTTCACCCCCCCCCCGCCCCCACCCCTACCATCCCCTCCCCCTGGGGTGAGACATTACCCAGGGTGTCACAGGGCTCGTTCTTCCAGGAACAGATGTCCAGGCCGGTGAGGAGCACGGCATGGTCGTGACGCTTCCCAATCAGGCCCGACTGCCACTGGCAGAAACTGTTGAGAGACTGGTCAGCGTGGTGGTTGATGGACAGGCCGAGCTGGGGAGGAGACAGAGAGGAATAGATCATAAGGGGAGACTGGATAATTCATGACGTTGGGGAGGCTGGTGATTTTATTGTCAGGCACTGATGTGACTCACTGGATCTTGCTCTAGAAGAAGCAGGCTGACCACCACAATGTTGATATCAGTTCCGATGGTGCCGTCTTTGAAAAGGCTGGAAACCTAAAACAAAACAAACCCAGATTGCCAGTTTTAGATTAACATTTCGTTTCAAATGAATCGTTGCTTAACATTTTATGTGAAATAAATACATAAATCATGACATTCATTGTTTGTCAAGCATTAGGCCAGGGTTTTGCTTTAGGATAAAATCTACTTTGGGATATGTTACATGACTGATGACTGGAGTCCCTCCCATGCTCACCATGTTCATAACAGTGAGGACGTAGGTGGTGACGTTCTCTCTGCCGTGTTTCTCCAGCATCTTCCTGTCTGCCACCACCAGCGTTTCCACATTCAGGCCCCCCACCTTGTTAGACGTGATGGGTGATCGCTTCACCCTGCCTGGGAGCTCAAACTCATCAGGCATGACGAGACGATCCTCAGCAGGGGGCTTGGGAGTGTCTGCAGATATATGGAAGGGGGATAGAGGGCAGGTAGGGATGGATAGAGATATGAAGAGGGAGAAAGAGAGACAGGGAGAGAGAGAAATGCTTTGGAAAGGAGCTCAAATGACAGCTCCTCCTTTTTCCTGGTCCTTTCCCTGATAAGAGCACAGGGCTGGCAGAGTGTTGAAAGAGCAGGAAATATTCACAGTCATTCACTCCTCATGCTACTTCCGAGTATTCATTTCAATAAAGCCCAGCTACTTTATACCCCTACGCTATCTGAGCACTATTTATATCAAAGTACATTGTACACATTACATCATAAACAATCAGTAGCAGAACATTTGGACATTTTGACCTTCATTCTTTATGTTATTGCATTGTTATCATTCTGTTTCTGTGATAAAACTACAAAGCATGTCTCTCTACCATCTCTACTACCACTGTCCTGTACACACTGTCCCACGTGACTGTAATGTGTTTTTCTCATGTGAGCGCATCAAAGGCAGTCATAATAATAAGGATGTTCCCTTACATACATTGCTTGCGGCGTCCACAGAAGTGTTGTCTCTGCAGCTTCCCGTGCTGGTAGTCGTGGTGACGGTGGTGATGGTGCTGTAGATATGGGTTGTCAGGTTGGGAGCTGTGGATGGACCTCTGGCCACCATGGACTTTGTGTTCAGCTGAGCGTTTGTAGACCACGTGTGGGTGGTGTCCACTCGGGGAGCTGTAGTTGTGCTCTGCAGCTAGGTGCTGGGGCAAGGGGTCGATGAAGTACTCATCATCAGACATCCGGATCAGACCTGACTGGAGAGCACAGATACCCATGGGCATTACATTTATTCATCAACATTAAACATTCATCATGGGGGATGAAGATGAGAGTGTGATCAGGAATAAGTAATGTAGATTGGCATGTGTTAAGGAATGGTGTAAGTAAGAGGTCTGTCAGCAGTTCTTAGATAAGGCCTGAAGGGACGTACAAATAGAGAGGAGTCATCTCATCCCAGACACAGACACAAGAAACCCTGGGACAAGGTGGTGTCTCCATAGATGTTTCCATAGGTTAGGCTCCCACAGGAATGTGACTTACTGTCTGCCAGGATGATAGCAAAGGGTATCAGAGGTATTCTGGGGCAGCTGCTCCTCAACACAGGATTCCTAACCCAAAAGGGTAGTGGGTTCAGAGACCATCTAGAATCAACTCTTACACTGTAAAGGGGTAGCAGTGAATTTGACAGTAACTTACAGGCAGCTCAGTGGCAAGTAAAATTATGTATTTCATATTACAGTACACCTACTGTACACATTACAACATATTAATGCATATTTGGTGTTTTATATCACTTGCACTTCTAGAGGCCTTAACAAAGGCTTTCAAACTAGCAAATACAGGGTGACTACAGGGCAAAACAGACCAAAACGACATGGCAAAACGGTCAACCATTTAAGGTTCAAGACTTGCTGCCACTCCAATTTTATATTTGAGATTCTTAAAATAGCCACCCTTTGCCTTGATGACAGCTTTGCACACTCTTGGCATTCTCTCAACCAGCTTCATGAGGTAGTCACCTGGAATGCATTTCAATAAACAGGTGTGTCTTCTTAAAAGTTAATTTGTGGAATTTCGTTCAAGTCACAGACACATCTCAACATCAACTGTTCAGAGGGGAATGTGTGAATCAGTCCTTCTTGGTCGAATTGCTGCAAAGAAACCACTACTAAAGGACATCAATGAGAAGAAGAGACTTGCTTGAGCCAAGAAACACGAGCAATGGTTTCAACCGCCATGTCTTTGTGAGACGCTTTGTGGGTGAACGGATGATCTCTGCATGTGTAGTTCTCACCGTAAAGCATGGAGGAGGAGGTGTTATGGTGTGGGGGTGCTTTGCTGGTGACACTGTCTGTAATTTATTTAGAATTCAAGGCACACTTAACCAGCATGGCTACCACAGCATTCTGCAGCGATACGCCATCCTATCTGGTTTGGGCTTAGTGGGACTATCATTTGTTTTTCAACAGGACAATGAGACAAAACACCTCCAGACTGTGTAAGGGCTATTTTACCAAGAAGGAGAGTGATGGAGTGCTGCATCAGATGACCTGGCCTCCACAATCCCCCGACCTCAACCCAATTGAGATGGTTTGGGATGAGTCGGACCGCAGAGTGAAGGAAAAGCAGCCAACAAGTGCTCAGCATATGTGGGAACTCCTTCAAGACTGTTGGAAAAGCATTCCAGGTGAAGCTGGTCGAGAGAATGCCAAGAGTGTGCAAAGCTGTCATCAAGGCAGTGGGTGGCTATTTGAAGAATCTCAAATATAAAATATATTTTGATTTGTTTAACACTTTTTTGGTTATTACATGATTCCATGTGTTATTTCATCGTTTTGATGTCTTCACTATTATTCTACAATGTAGAAAATAGTAAAAATAAAGAAAAACCCTTGAATGAGTAGGTGTGTCCAAACTTTTGACTGGTACTGTATGTTAATGAGCCATAAACAACAATTCTATGCACCCAAAAGGTTTTTGGCGTTCCAAAGATATGGTACCCAAAAGTAAAAACATGAAGCAGACCAAACTCTTTGGTCCTTTAAAAACCTGCTGTATTGTGTGCTATAGCTTGGAAAATAAATACTTGTGACTCTGGATGACAACATAATCATGTTTGTTTCCAACATTAGTGCTGTTTTCCTAAAGAAGTTAAATACGCTTCGTGTTTTGTTTCCTTGCCACGATACTAACCAGTATTGCGATACTTGTATCTTCCCGGCCCTAGTATTCTAGGAACAATAACATTCTAAATAAATCAATTATTTCCTCGTCCACAACATTTTCCCACAATGCACCATCATTTGAAGTAAGCTGCAGTAAAACATTTCTGAGTATTTTACTGTTGATAATACCCCACATTACTGTATAAATTACAGTTTTCAGTTACAGTGTAGTTTACCTCTCAAACACGTCCGTAAAAAAACTGCTGTGAATAACCTAAGTACTTGCAGTCGCCATGGATACAGCTGTCAGATACAGTGAAAAAAATCTAAAGTAGTATGATGCAAGACAGCTTTATAGATGATAGTGCAGTCAGAGAGTAACTGGTAAAAGGTTGTCAGAGAAGTTCCTAACTAGTAGTGTCTAAAATGTTTGCAGGTCAACAGAAACAACAACACAAAGTGAAAAAAGTCCCTTTGAACAGACCTCTGCCAGAAACTGCTCTTTAATTAACCAGCTCTTCATGTAAAGGATTCCAATACACTCCAAAGAAAGGAATAAAGTGTTGAGACAACCTCTCAGAGACTGCCTGTAAAAACACATTAAGCGGGAGGCCATTAATCTTCAAACATCAGCATGGTCCTGTTATCGGAGCTAGTACTGGAGGGGACTGAATCAATTTGATTAGCGAAAAGAGCTGAAACACAGCGGTATTCACTTTCCCTTTACATGTTAGAGGAGGGCTACGATGTATGAGATAGCCTCTCTATGGAACCGTGTCAGCAAGCATTAAAAGCCAACCACTGATTGAAAAGATCCGATATTGGCTCTTTGTCATCCTCCGAGGCAGATAGCTTTTCTTCAACACCCTTCGCTCCCCGTGGTTTGTCTGTGTGTGTGTGTGCGTGTGTATGTGTGTGTGTGTGTGTGCGTGCGTGTGTGTGTGCAGTTTGATGATTACATGGAGCAGTAGGTAGGGGAGAGAGGGGTTGAGGTTCAAGTCAAAAGTAATAATATCCTTTCATTAATTAGGCATAATGCCAAAGGTCAATCAAGAGGAGAACATAAGGCACCAAGCTACTGTAACACATCTGAAAATGCATTTGACTTACTCACTAGTCAGATTTCTGTCTATGGGCCATGTGCAACTGCCATAAGTCTTACATTTGGCAATCCATAGCAATATGATTCATCTTTGAAAGTTTGACTTATTGATACAGAACACCTTTCCAATTAAATAAAACAATTATAAAACATCAACTGTAGATTCCTTATTCATACCATTACATTATATGGAGGTGTAAAATACTATTTTAAACATCACCACAGGCTGACAGTTTTATTTATACAGAAAAAAAAACAGAAAGAAAACGCAGCATGCAACAATTTCAAAGATTTTACTGTTACAGTTCATATAAGAAAATCAGTCAATTGAAATAAATTCATTAGGCCCTAATCTATGGATTTCACATGACTGGGTGTTACAGGAGGGAGTCGCAGTTCCGTAGCGACCCACTAGGTGTCATCCTCCGACAACCTTAGGCACCTCCTCACTCACAGTCTGGACTAATCATTATCTTATTGGTTTCACCTGTGTCTACCTGTTCACCTGTGTATTTATGCCCTCACTTCCCTGTGTTCCCTTGCTCAGTTTTCTCTGCTAGTTTCTCTATGTCCAGCAGTACTATGCAGTGTCTGATCGGAGACCTATGAACAGGTACTTGAGAAGTGTTCTCCCTGTTTCGTTATTTGTTTCAGTCTTATGTAGTATTTCGTATTTTGGCTGTCAGCTGGTTTTTGGAGTCTTATTTGCTCTGCCTTTCTTTTATCGTGATAAGTCCGTTATTTTGTATTCTGGCTTCGGGACCACCAGTAAAGATCCTTGTTTCACCATCTCTGCCTACTGCCTACTGTATATCCTGCACCGAACCTGGGTCACACCTCACACCAACCCTTACAACCCTTACAATACAGATATACATCTGTTGGTCACAGATACCTTAAAAAAAAGGTAGGGTTGTGGATCAGAAAACCAGTCAGTATCTGGTGTGACCACCATTCGCCTCATGCAGCGCGTCACATCTCTTTTGCATAGAATTGATCAGGCTGTTGATTGTGGCCTGTGGAATGTTGTCCCACTCCTCTTCAATGGCTGTGCGAAGTTGCTGGATATTGGCTGAAACTGGAACACGCTGTCGAACACATCGATCCAGAGCATCCCAAACATGCTCAATGGGTGACATTTCTGGTGAGTATTCAGGCCATGGAAGAACTGGGACATTTTCAGCTTCCAGGAATTGTGTACAGATCCTTGCGACATGGGGCCGTGCATTACCATGCTGAAACATGAGGTGATTGCGGCGGATGAATGGCACGACAACAGGCCTCGAGATCTTGTCACGGTATTTCTGTGCATTCTAATTGACATGGATAAAATGCAATTGTGTCCGTTGTCCGTAGCTTATGCCTGCCCATACCATAACCCCACCGCCACCACGGGGCACTCTGTTCACAACATTGACATCAGCAAACTGCTAGTCCACACGACGCCATACATGTGGTCTGCGGTTGTGAGGCCGGTTGGACGTACTGCCAAATTCTCTAAAATGCCATTGGAGTCGACTTATGGTAGAGAAATTAACATTAAATTCTCTGACAACAGCTCTGGTGGACATTCCTGCAGTCAGCATGCCAATTGCACACTCCCTCAAAACTTGAGACATCTGTGGCATTGTGTTGTGTGACAAAACTGCACATTTTAGAGTGGCCTTTTATTGTCCCCAGCACAAGGTGCACCTGTGTAATGATCATGCTGTTTAATCATCTTCTTGATATACCACACCTGTCAGGTGGATGGATTATCTTGGTAAAGGAGAAATGCTCACTAACAGGGATGTTAACAAATTTGTGCACAACATTTGAGAGAAATAAGCTTTTTGTGCATATGGAAAATTTCTGGGATCTTTTATTTCAGCTCATGAAACATGGGACCAACACTTTGCATTTATATTTTTGTTCAGTGTAGTTTCGGATGATTTAAAGTTGAGCATTTGTAATGCATTTGCAACAGCCCTCCAGCTTTAGGGTTGCAAGATGAGACCAGAACACAAGTTAACAT